TACATGTACTATGAATTGCCTGCCTCTTCCATACCACCCTCTTGTCCTGTGACAGGCTCTCACGAGGGTCTAGTCCACAGTACCATCTAGTGGCAGACGTTGATATGACCATGCCCACCTCAAAAACGCTCTTGACATTTCTTAGCAATCTCAGTAGAGAGATAAAAGTGTATGAAACACCCTCTCATGCTTTGAAATAGTATCATGTGGGATAGCACGAGCAGAGCTCACCTCATCAGGGATTGAGAGGAGTTAGCCAGCTCTGACGGTGAAATTGCCTATCCGGTACACTACATAAACATGATTACTAATTGCTTTTCCCAGAGATGACCTGTTAAGAAGGTTCTTGTTTGCTGCTCTGAAAAAATAAGTGAATCTAACACTGGGTGAACATACGAAGAATATCTCTGAGACTTCTTTTGAACACAACTGGCAGAGCTTGCTGTCTCCTGAGTTGCAAAACCAGTAGCAATTCTGACACAAACTTTAGAAGCTGCTCCCAGTTAGAGTACACATACCTGACATTCATCTTGAGCATCTGGTTATTGCTGCTTAGGTAACTTCCTTTACAGGATCATCAAGCTAGAACGAACACTGGACAGTGTGTTTACATTGTACTCAATTACATATGTGTATGGTTTTGATAACAAAAAGTAGAAGAGCAGTGTATTGAAACAGAGTATGAATACCCAAATTCTTGCATTGACTAGCCTCTCATACCTACAATGCGCATTCTAGAATCAGCCTGTGCAAAGCTTTTTAGATATCCTGCCGTGATTCTTTATGCATTATGAAGTGTCCAAATAAATTAAAACAAATTTAAAATAAAAAAAGTTAAAAAACACCCCAATTTCCACAAAGATCATACCCTAAGAACTATTCCTCAGGCAAACTGCAGTCCATATTAACCCTAATTATTGTTGTGAAGCTGTTCAAATAAGTAGCACCAACTTTATTCTTTGATTTTCTAAAACACATGAGTGAAAAGTCTTTCTGTTTGTACCAAACCTTCTGAAAGTGAAAAAAACTGTTCTGTTGCTTTCTTAGGCATCTTACATAAAAGTCATGAGAACTAGAAATAAGAAATCTAGACCATAAAGAGAGGCATTTCTTGAAACACATCAATTTAGTGAGCACTTTTAGTGGCTGAAATGAAAAGAAGATACAGGAAACGGTGCTGAGTTACGCAGCCTCACACACAGGAGGTGATGAGCTGAGGTGAAGGAGGATGGTCTCTCAAGCAGCAGAGTTTCCAACGAAGCTTCTAATATGTGAAGAACTCAAGCACACTCATGAAGTTGTACACCTTCAGAGGAGAATGCAGGGTAAGTACTCAGAGAGGGTGAGCTTGTTTTCTCAGACGTGACCCACTCTTTGTCTTCAGACTCTTCTACATCTAGTTTCTTATTCACACCTTTCATCTTCAAAGGATTAAAAATGTAAAAACTAAAAGGATTAAAAAATGTATGTATAAAACTTCATATAGGAATTTCTAGCCCTAGTCAAGCCTGCACATTTTTTGTATGGTAACCAATATTAAGTATAATTTACGTAAACCCAATTTTATGGATGAAAGACAGTCTATCAGTTTAAGATAACAATTAATATTTTATGCTTTTCAGCATGCAGTTCAGGTTTTTTTTCCCCCCTTCAGCGCTAACAATTATATGGCTGTTTTGGCAGAAATTACTGTTCTTCTGAGTACTGTTCTCTGAAAGCCAAAATAAAGAAATGGAGGAGGAAAGACTAATTTGCACAACCAGTTCTATTTGTATTCAGCAGAACTTACATAACCTCACTTCCTCTGCAGTATTCAGATTTTAGTAGAGTTCTAAAAAAGTTCTAGAAAAAATCTTAAATCAGCTCTACAGAGTTTTCCCGTATCACAAGAACTTGAGGTATTCTATCACAATCATAGGTCTTATTTCTAAAAGGTAGCTTATCTCAACAACAAAAAGCGAGTCTGACTCTTCATCAAACAGGTATTCTTGGGAACATAGCATGCTCTGTGACAGTAGGTTTGCTGTGAACTTGCTAAATGCACCAAACAGCATGTCTTCTGACAGATGACAGCACCAATACCTGACAAATACCTGACTGCTATAAAGTGTAAAAAGGAAGATACTGTTCCTTTTTAAATAGAAAATAAATGCACTTGTAAAAAAAAATTATTTGTATTTTAAACAGACTCAGATATTACTGCACAATCTTTATTATTTTCAAAGGTTTTGTTATTCTTTAAGGTTTTTTTTCACTTTGCATTTTGTCACTTTGATTTCTATTGACAACAATCTGCACTTGCTCAAGATATGCCTCTTTCTCAAGTCTTCAAAAGAGGGTGTCTACAGAGGAGTAATGTGTGCTTTCTAAGACCTGTTTACATATTTTAGTCTTACAAGTTCCTATACCCTTGAAACTGAATAGCAGAACAGACTTGTTGAAGCACTAGTCAGACCATTAAGGCATTTCTGATGTTTTTCTTTCTTATGTTTCCTGATTCATACTTCCGAATGGCCTATGCTTGTGATACAGCTGCATTTTGGTGGTAATAAACAGTCTACAGTTCTGTCTTTTACTACCAAAAATATCATTCCTATGGTATACAGTAGCAGCTACCTGTAGTATCTTTCATTTAGATTACAACTTTGTGTAGAAAGCAAGCACATCATACAATGCATACAGACAATAAATACCAAGGCACACATGAGAAGTAATCTCTTTCCTCTTTAGGTCATCTGGGAGCCTTCCAAAACATCAAGGTTATGACTAGAGTCATAAGAAGGAAAGATTAGTGAATCAGTCAAAATAAGTATCAAACATACTGCTTAACTATACTGTTAACACAATATATAGTTCTCAAGTTTTTTGTGATGATACTATTACATCATTAAAAATCTATTAGATTTCAAGCTGCCAAACTAGCTTGAGATTTACTTAAGTAAATTTTTTGCCCTGTGCTAAAAAAATGAACACATCAAAGATACCTAGTAAGAGATCGCCTTTCAAATTTGTAACTTAGATCAGTCTAGATGAGCTTCCAAAGGACTTCTGCCCAAATAAAAATATAATTCAATGCTTTAGTTATAGCTGAACATTAAGAGGGGTTTTTTCATACCACTCATGGAAGGACTCAGAGCAGAAGCAAACAGACAGTTCTGGTAATGTGGAAGGGCTCTAAACCAACAGGCGAACCAAACAAGAGGAGATTTAATCAAGCTGGCTAACTAACAGTACTTTCTACCCACAGAAAGAAGGCTCTCTGACAGAAATGTATAAATGCATGTCCTGGAAACAAAACTCTCGATGGTGTGAGCTGAGAAATATTCTGTAGTTCTAAATCCGAGGCAGTAGGAGATGACAGATACAAGAGGTAATGAACCTCCACGGCAGATACGCCAGTTCTGAGGGGTTTGGATACAGATAAGTTATCAGTAAGAAACTGAATCAGTTTCTGACCTTGAAATAGAAATTAAGACAGTAGGTAGGTTTGGAGGAGTCTCTTTTATATCTGTATTTTGTGACAGAGACAATATCTCTATGTTAATAGAATCAGCAAAGACTCCCTGACTAAATATATAAAAGAGGAGACCTGAAACCAGAAGCTTTAAATAATACTTAATTTACACTTGGCAGGATGGAAGCCATCTTTGAAGCTTACAATTAGGAGAGAAAAAAAAAAACACATACCAAATGAAAGCATGAAAATCCCCACAATGTTCTACTAATGTTTTATTTCAGGGTTTCTACAACCCATTATAGTAGATTTTTAATTCCCATAACAAACAATATCTGTATTTCTCTACCTGTCCACAAAAGAGAAGCTGGAACTAGTAGGAGCCAGTAGATCCGTCAGTTTTGAGAAACACAAAAGCAAAAATTGAGTCTGCTTTATCGAAACATGTTGGATCCAAAAGGGAAGGTTGCAACGTGATCTTTATATGTGCCTAAGGGAATTGAAAGCGCAGTTGCCCTCAGTAAAACTTGTTTCCTCTCCCAGTGATGTTTTACCAAGAAAGCCTAGTATGACAGAATACTTTCTCTGGGCAGGTCACCCTCTAAATCCTCACAGAGCTTGTACACGCATTTATACAAGTGCTTTCTGTTCTGTTGGAAACTGTCATTTTCTTCCAAAATTTTCTTCACAGACACCTGTTTTCCAAATTTGCTACATCTTTATTCTTCAGTGAATCAGAGTCAAATGTATAAGGGAAGGTGAGACAATTAATCTGGAAAGTATCAAGTAAATCTATGCTGCTTTTAGATAGGATGTAATTTTAAAAATGTATGTACACTTGTATCAAATTATTTTAGGACATCTTATTTGAAGAAGAACTAAGATGGGAAATCTTCCAAATAGACAACAAAAGACCAAGTTTAAGGGATGAACAATAGAGTAGAACAGACAAAAAGACTTTCTTCAGGAAGCTAACCTGGAGATGTGGCTAATCTTTTCTCTGCTTTCCTTCTTCCTCCCTCAAACCACCAATGTGGTAAACACTGTAACAAGTAATACAACATTAAAACAGACTGAAACATTTATCCTGGTTTTTACATTCAAGTAAAACATTCAATTTCAATTTCAACAGGTAAGTTTTATCATTTTGTTTTATTAAATCATGTAGGTATAAGAATAACAGTTCAAAAAGGATAATAAAAAAACCGATCAAAGATAAAATGCTTACTTTGAATTTATATTCAATATTTATGGGCAAAACATGACCGATTTCAGCAAGTCTGAGAAAGAAATACAGCACATTACAGTCTAGAGAAACAACCCAAATGAACAGTTTGCTGAATAGTGCCATGTTAACTTTTACAATATCTCACAAAGATACAATGAAGTTCTGTTCAAGTAGAATTAATTTCATATATCTTAAAAAAATACAAACCATTGCTTTAAAACTGTATAAGCAATAAACCTAAAGTTTTCTTTTCATAAGAAATAACTGAGATGTTTAAATGATTCTTGACTTCAAGAGTTAATTGAATACAGTTCCAGATTACTGATTTTTTAAAAATAAAGCAGCGCCACATTGAATCCACTGGTCTTGGTTTCCTCCACAAGGTACATCAATATTTGTCACCACACGGTCTCTCTCCGCGCTAGTGTAGACTGGTAAAGATATGCATTCCTCTGGAGAATATGGGCCATATGCATCCTGTCAACAAACAAGCACTTAGTTATGACTTGTGTAGTTATCACAGACAACAAAACACGAGAAAGGAATAATCTCCAGTGATATGGTATCTACAGCTGGATCCTCAGATACAGTTTAGACATAGCAGCCTTGGACAGGCAACTCCTGGTCCAGGCTACAAAGGTGAAGCATTACTAACAAAGCAACTTCAAAAAATTCACCAGACGACTCCATAACTAACCCTCTCCTTTTTCTCTCCAGTTTGTTAAACGGAAAACACAAGAAAGTATGTAACAGGGGTGATCCTATGAACCACATATCAAATCTTCATTCAGCTAAAAAACCCGCTAAATTACATCTCCAACTGTTCCCAGAGGGGAGAAGGGCCCTTGGGAGCACCAGTGCTGTCCTGCAGGGAGCTGCTAACTGGGCAGGCTGGAGTCCTGGGGCAGCCAGCGCCCGCGGCAAGCCCGGCTGCCTCACCTCCTCCGTCCTGCAGCATCACCCTGCTGCTCCTCCCGCAATGCAGCCCAGCGGTGATCTGGTCCGCGAGACTCACCAGTGGCATACTTCAGGAACTGCACCCAAAAAAGTCCTACCCTACACTTCCCAGGCTACTTTATGGATTTAAACAATGATTTCTAACATCAGTGAATCCAAATATAAAAATTGTTCTCTGATACAGAGAGAGCTACTATACCTTACATTAGAGCCTCTCAGGGCTCCCACTTAATGCAGGATATTAAAAGGAACCCAGAAGTATTAACCACCATTTAGTTAGACAAGGACTTAAACCAAACAAACAAACAGCCTAAATTCCCTAGTCCTTTCCATATATTTCTAGCACTTCAAGACATACAAGCATATGTAAAAAGTTACATTATTAATTTAAAAAAAAGCAGGTATGATGACTTTTTGGTTATTTTTTTAAATGCTTTTCAAACTAATACTGATCACAGTCGCAGCTGGGGTTCTTTGGCACTTCTGGAAAACAGGCCACTTCCATTAGGTGCCTAAAGAGGCAATTATCAAGTTAACCATAAGCATTCAGATTTGAACCGAGTGCTTTGAACTTCAAGCTGAATTAATTTATAATCTGCATTCTCCTACACATGTACTTTCCTACTGCACGGCATTAGCAGTACTACTATTACAAAGGCTACAATTATATTGTAAACACTGCTTAGGGAAGGACCTTGGTTGAAACCATGGCTTTACCTCTCAGTCTGTATCCTGATGAGCAAGCACTGCTCTACTCTGCAAAAAGTAACAGCTCCTTTCTGCTTTCTGTACTACAAACGGTGCACCTTGGACGTAGTTTCCTCCTACAGCTTTGCACAGGGCATTGTCCCTGTGTATGACTATAGAACTAAGCTCAAAAACTCAGTCGAGACTTCCTACAGGATGTAATTTGGGTTTCAACCCATGATGTATTTATTTAGTGTAAATAATTCAGGGTTTGATTCAACTAATATACATAAAGCACGCAAAATCTTCCTTCCTGTCAACAAGAAAATTTTAGAAGATTTCAAGAATCAAGTAACAAAGCAGCACACTTGTCAGAAAGGAATTTAAAACAAAACTGAGAGTCTTTTTAATGCAAATCACATCAAGTGTGAGTTAGTGAAGCTCCAATATTAGAAAACAACTAAAACCAGGAAAAGGAAACACGCAAACAATAACTGTTTCAAGCACTTTGCCTTGCATGTCAAGTGCAAGACATTTCTGAAGAATTTTGTTGTCCCTTTTGAAAATCAACTTCCCAAGTCTTTTGAACAGCAATGTTTAAATCCTTACAGAAGGTTTGTGCACTGTAAAAGCTGTATAGAATAACTTAATAATCAGGATTTTGACAAAAGAACTCAGCTGTTCTCAGAAGGACTATACTTGCCGCATTTATCCCTTGGTTAAAACTACTGAAGAAGATGAAATGCTGGCCAGTCTGAGAGTAAAACGTTAATCAGAGAATTTAAGTTTTGCCAAAGCTGGGAGGCCAAAAGTTGGCCAGTTTGCCTTCAAAGACTACACTTTTTTGGTCAAAATAGCTGTTCTTGCGCCTTTCTCAATCCCACTGATGTTTTAAGGAATCACATTATTTAAGGGTTAAAACCATTCTGTGAAAGTCTTTTTGAACCACAAATCCTTATATCCTTGGCTTACACAGAGTCCAAAAATTCTCTTTGTCTAGACTGCCTCACACACACAGTTCCATGCCCCTTAGTGACACCCTTCACAGCTTGGAATCTATCAGTGAATTAAAACTGGAAAGGACCTTCACAGTTTAATGAGAATAAGCATCATATTAGTAGCTCAAAATACTCCATGTTGAGCATTGCAGCATTTTGAGGGGGTTCTCTCAGAGAAATCCTGTAGGCTACCTTTTTTTTTTAGAGAGTTCACTTTCTTTTAGTTTGGTTGAAAATAACCTCAAAGCATTGCATTACAGATTTTTTTTGCTAACTAGATTTCATAAAAGATATTTATGGGGAAAAGAAAACAAATCCAAAACCTAAGAATCCTAAGGTAACGTGTTCTACTTCATGGGCTCTTCTCCTAAGGAGAGGATAATGAGATAAGGGGAAGTGCACAATGTCCTGATTCTGCCTTGGTTTTTGAGCTCAGTGTTTGATTCGATTTTACAGTGAAGCCCATAGCAAAACAACTTAAGGGCAGAGCAATTCAGAAATGCTCTCCTTAGAGATACTTTATATTTAAAATCAGGGCAGTTGACAACTTTTGGTCTGTGCTTTAAAAAAATTTTTTTTTTCCAACACAAAGACTTTGGTTGCTACTGATTTCAAATATGAAGTACACTGGCAGAAGTTTAATTCACTGTTTATTAAACTATCTCACTTCTATGTTTTATGGGTAAAGCTCTCTGCTGATGTCACATATAACTTCTGTATCTCTGAAGTTTAAAGAATATAGACTGTTATTCAGAAAAACACTTAAGAATCTGTTTTATCTCTAACAGAAGATGAGTATTTTTCAGAACAAGGAGAGGGTTACTCACAATCCTCATTTTCAGTATGCCTAAGATAAACGTTTGGTCTTACCAGATAAAACTACTGAAGAAGTTTTATGCATATTATATGCATATATATATATGCATATTACCTTCCTCCATGCACCTCCTCCTGTCCCCCCCAACTCTATATATTGAAATGTCTGGCAATTCCATATTTATCCCATGCATCACCTTTCAAGTAAATCTGTTTATTTTTCTGAACAAAACAAACCTTGTAAACTACTAAAGAATCAAAAACTCTTTCACTGGTCAACTTTGTAACAGGTTTTGTGGTGTTTGGGTTTTTTTAAAACTTTCTGTATTTTCTTTCCCATCAAAGCTGGGAGTAGTAGTGCAGATGGTGGCCAGTACTTACTTCTGTGTTCAAAGTCTAAACCTTGGCCATTATACTTCTAATGCTGTACTATAACATAATGCTATACTTCCAGTGCTGGAAATAACAATAAGGAAAAAAAAAAAAGTTGGGATACAGTAGTGTGTTAGCAATGGAACTCCTTGGACAATATCTATCATAACATACCACAGATCTCATCATCGCTATAACTTATGATAAATAATAAACTCAACTCTAACTACTTGTGTCCAGTGACCTTTTTTCTTCAACATTCTTCTAACCAAACCTAGCCTTCTCAAGAGAGAACTCTGCAGAATTCTCTAGGTTTTCAAGTAACAAAGTCCTCCAGTTAATGAACTCATTTGCTTGATGAGTTAATATCTGCAGGATAGGATAAAAGTGACATTATTTTTCATTTTTTATATATTGCTAGTTTTATTTATTGTCATAAAGAAGTGGAAAAAACCCGCATCCACCCCTATTTCTCACTTTCTACATTTACACTTGATTTTTGATGTAGAAGTCTTAATATATTTTCTTTTAGGTCTGGATGTGGGGTTCTTCTGACCTGTCTATCCCAGAGTTAGCAGTCTAGGCTGTCTCTAGAGTCACAGCTCGACAGAGATTTAACCCAGTTACCTCATGATGGGTTGGACATCCTGAGATGCCTATATTTTACTGAGACCAAAGAAGGAGCTAAGGCAACTAAGTCATTCTGGGCAATTAACTTTTAGACAGCTACATTTAGATGAGATGAATTCTACCATAAGGTTTCTCTTAGTTATGACACTGTAAGTATATGAATTTGTAATTCCTACACATCTTTGAATAAGTTCTATATAACTTTTGCTTTGTTTATCAGAGATTGGTATTGTAATTGGAGAGCAGAAGCATTAACAATTTTTACTGTTTGGACTACTTCACTTTCACCTTACAGAGTTCTGCCAGCATTGACGTTTTTTTCAATTAGTGTAAGTAGAAAAAAGGGTTTCTTAGCTTACAGATCACATCATGTTCTCTATCTTTTCATTGCTGTTGAATTTTAATTTAATGTTTAAAATGAGAAAAAATATATTCTAGGAATGAACTCACAAACTCATATATATATTTACTAAACACACTGTTGAAAATATGTTAATGTGTTTTAAAAGACAAGGAAAAAAGGTATGACTGAAACAAAGCCCTTGTATTAATCTAAACAATAGAAGCTAAAAATTATTGACAAAATTATAAGTTTTTGTTTATATAAAAGAAGTAACTGCTTGTCCTATTAAAGACAGGGACTTTTCTTTTGAAATGTGGGGGAAAGCAGGTCAGCAACATAATACTGAAAAGCCACTACACAGAAAAAAGCAAATTATGGGTCTTGAAAGTTAGGGCTTTTAATAATTTAGTACCTGTGGAATCCAGGCCATGTAGCAAGGGAGAACAGATGACACACTGGGAGAATCATGCAGATTTTCTGAAAGTCGATTTCCATCAAAACTGCAACCTTCCAGTTGTAAGCCAGTGATCTGCCACGGAAATACAAAATATTCAAACATATATAATAGACTTGAGATGTCAGTAATGATTACACTGTGCTTTCATAAATTATCATCATTTTTACTGTGACCAAGTTTTTAAATAACAGGAAACTAATTATTGTAACGTTCTGCGGAGAATAGAAAACATGATTTAAAAGCAAGATCTGGACCATGCTTCGGCATGAACTTCCTCTGATTTGGATTCACATTCTTTGAAACGTTACAGAAAAATACCTCTAAATGTCATCATTTATGAAACTACAGTTGCCTGGCATTAGATTAATGGAAATTTGATAGCAACAGCCAAACACACAATCATTACAATGTCAAGAAGAAGAGAAGAACAATCAGTGAAATAAGCATGACTCCCTGCTTGGAAGTCTGAGCACAGCTTTCAAAGAACGGAGTGCACGACTACACAGCTTCTGCAGAGGCAAACAAAAGACATTGAAATAATATGAGAAAAAATTTCTTTAACATATCTCAAGATTGCTTAGATAAACTATTTTTTGGAAAAATTAAATAAGAATCCCACAGGTAACTATGCACTGCTTTATATGTAATATGTATGAACTGCTTTCTTTTAATTAGTAAGTACTTTCAGCCTCTGAACTAAACATTCTTTTTCTTCACTGAAGTCCTGCATAAATTAAGGACAATGACATATATTCTGGATTTCTTCAAAATACAATTATCAATATCTGATCATCATTTTATTTTCCCAGTACAAATAATAATCGTTTGCCAGTATAAATAATAATTATAGTCACTTTGGCCTGCTGAAGTGCAAACTTCAATTTTATCAATAATAAAACTTAGTAATAACTTTCATGCAGCTTTTCAAAAGACTAAATCTTAAGCTGGAGCAGATGTCTAACAGAAGCTACAACCTGAAAGTCATCTGGCTATTATATTATCATAGTAAAGCCTCAATTACAATACGTAATACTGGGGTAGGCGTTCGCCACATACAATGTTCATAAAGCAGTACTGGAACTAGGAAATACAATGCTGTTGGACACTGGATGAGTGGCCACAGAACCAAAATGGAGAAAAGTATCATTTTCTAATACATCTTCTCTTGCAAGGAATTTTGAAGAGTGTACTATATTTAAAAAAGTGGCTAGAGTATCATGTTACAATGAAGATCGGTATCATAGAATATGTAATGGAAATAATTTACTTAGGTAATTACAGTATTCTAAAATTATTTATTTGACAAGAGAAGTTGCAATTAAACAGTAACACAATGGGGGTTACTCTCATGCTTGAAAAGCAATTCTTTCCTCCCAAGTATTGGGGGTTTTTGTTAATAGTCTACTAACTGTATACTAGATAAGATTATATTTTGCATTTTTAATATCTAATTATTATTTTGATTGTAGACAGGCATTGCAGTATTCAAAAATTTGCTTCTTTAAAGTCATATTTCTGTTCTAACTCTGAGCTGAGGACTCTTCCTTACAATGTGCAAGATGCATATATATTCTAACATGAAAAAAAAGCTATAAAAGACTGCATTTAAAAAAGCTATAGAAAAAAGCTGTGTTTCACCTTGGACAGACAGTGACCAGAGAAGTGGCAACATTCTTTGAAGCAATCTGTGCTCCATACAGACCAGGACTCACAGTAAATCCTCCAAAACTGTGGATAACCCGAATCAAAACAACTCCAAATGCAAAGCTGAGAAGAGCGTAACTCTTTCTCTAACTTTACCTTCCACAAATTATTATAACAAGGCCTCAGTGAAATGAATTAAATTTTTCAGACTTTCTCTTTGGAACTGCAAAAACTTTCTTTCTCCTTCAACCTTTTGTCAAAAGCTTAAGTCTTTTCCTCATTATGAAAGTGTGACACTCCTCTTCCTTTTCCTGCCAAGTTTATTGTGATCTTTCCTTTGCATCTTCCCTATGACTTTCAGGTCCGTTGCTTTTAAGGTACAGTGTTAACATTTGATAGTTTGTACCATTTCTTTTCAAACTCAAAATCTCTCCACACTGAGAGGTTTTGGGAAAAGCTGGCTTTATCTAGTAAAAGAGAAGTTTGGGTGTCAATAGTCTTTAATGATAGCCTACATAGGTTCCAGAGCCTCTTCTGTCTTGAAAGAACAAAGAATATGAAGAAAAATATCATAAAAGGCACAAAAGGAACAAAGTCTTACTAATGATTATACTGAGGTTTTCCCACAGACTCCTTCCTACTGCTCTCTGTTGTTAACATTAAGGCCTCACTTGATTATATGCACGGGTCCTAGATGACACTTTATCTCACTACACTTCTGATTGAATGCTTTTAAAGCTCTTATTTATCCCTATCACACAAATATTAAAAAGATTAATCTCATACATTCTTTTTTCTGCCCTTCCTGCATTCTGCAGGGAATTTTGTTATGGAGTTAAGTTTGAAAAATATGTGAGTTTGGTGAGTTTATTGAGGGAAGACTGGTCTGATGAAGAGGTTTTAAAATTTATTGTTAGCGTGTTCAAAGGTCAGCCATCCTGAACATCTCTAAAAGAAGTTTCTATAGAAGTGTGTCACCTATTGAAGAATCTTTCTATTGCACACACAATACTTTTGATATCGCCAATGCCTTTGATGTTATAGTTATATAAAATAACATCATTTGATCTCCTGGAAAACTTCAACCAATCATAGAAATTCCTTTGCAGGTGAAGACCAAAATTTTGACTTTGATTCCATATTAAAAGACACTGGAAAAAATAAAACACTGGAATAATGTACTTTCAGATACTGTTTGGCTGCGTACTCCCACAGCCATGTTCTCATTTCTATGATAAACTGTAGGCGAATGACAACTACTATGAAGGACATGGATTTCACAGTATCTATAATTAGCATGCATACTGTTTTTGCAGCTCAGCTCAGAGTAGTGTCTGGAGTTGACCATAATTTTTAAATTTTTAATTCTTACAAAGTATTTAGCATTTTGCAACTATTGGTACTAGCTTGGTTTCAGAAAGGTTATTGTTACTGTCCTGGTTTCAGCCAGGATAGAGTTTATTTTCTTCACAGAAGCGAGTGTGAGGCTGTGTTTTGGATTTGGGATAAGAAAATATTGATAATGTGCTGACGTTTTGATTTGTTGTTAAGTAGTCAAGGACAGTCCAGCTTCTCGTGCTGGCCTGCTAGCAAGAAGGCTGGGGGTGCACGGGAATAATACATGGGAATAATAATAATGGGAGGGGACACAGCCAGAACAGCTGACCCAGACTGGCCAAAGAGATATTTCCTACCATATAACATCATGCCCAGTACATAAACTGGAGCTAGCTGGGGGGTGGAATCGCTGCTCAGGGCAGGCTATCGATCACCAGCTGGTGAGCAATTGCTGTATTGGGCATCACTTGTTCTTGTACATTCCTTTGTCATTATTATTATTGTTGTTATCGTTGTTGCCTTCTCTCTTTCTGCCCTATTAAACTGTTTTTATCTCAACCCACGCGTTTTTTTTTCTAATTCTCTCCCCCGTCCCACTGGGGTAGGGGGAGTGAGTGAGCGGCTGCGTGGTGCTTAGTTGCCAGCTGGGGCTAAACCACAACAGTTACACATTACAGATTATGTTTCCTTAAAATACATTTGTAGAAAGTATGCTGATACCATGGTCCAAAGAATCTCTGTTTCCAAAATTTCAAATTCTCTGCAATTAGTTTTTCATTACTATTTAATGCCATAATTTTCCATAAACTAATACAAGATACAGTAGACTTCAGGAAGTCGTATTTTCACTTCGTTACCTCTACAGGCCTCCATCTTTAATTTCTTGATAATTCAGGATGGAAGTATACTGTAAAAAAAGACTTCTCAGGGTTCCTTCTAATAGGATTTCTGTCAACTTGCTAAGAGCATAGTTTTTATACTAATTCTTATATTATGTATTTGAATATTATAGTCTTGCAATAAATTTTTGTTTTTCACTATTTGTATTAAGCTCTATCCAAGCTCATAGCACTTACTACCTAAAAACTTTCTTCCTTTCTTTCTTTCGTTCTTTTCTGTAGTAACAGAAAATGGAATGCCAAAAGGAATGACTACCTGCTTTTGTAAAACAGCACAATCAGTGCACAAAGCAAAGAGAAGAGATGTATTTGCATATCAATATGTGATTATATTGCAATAGCCATACATTTTCAGTACCTTTTGTTAAAGCAATCTGAAAATATATTAAAGAAGGTGTCATTTTATACAGATTGATTCTAAAGCAAATATTCATCACATCCTACTAGGAGAGATCTGCTCCACATCATACATTTAAACTATCATCACCTGAATTAACACTGATAATATAGCATCAGATTTGATAATCCACTCAGATTCAGGTGTATTCTTGGCCTGATTGAGTGTTCCTCTGCCTACTTTGTACTTACACTGACAGTTCTAGCACATCAGACTTCTGACTTACAGATGATCGCAGGGTATATTATTTGAAATTTTTGGCACACAAACGTTATTCCAAATGTCTACAATTGCTGAAGCACGATGCCATTTTTTAAAAGTCCAGGAAGACTGAAAAAGCATTTTCATCATGCAGATCATAATGAAATTTCCACCTTCTTTCCTTACCAGAACAAATTCTAAGCCACCAAAACTTAAAGGCAAGAAAAAAATTCTCAAAGAACATGTCTTCAAAACAGTAACTAACTGACAGTGTGACTAAGAAAGTTATATAACATATGTGTGAATCTTAGGTTTAAATTCAATGTTCATCTGCATTCCTAATTGTTCCACTCCTTCAACAAAGATATTCTATTAGAATAACTAAATGTCCATTGATTCAGGGACTTGAGCACGACTCTCCCATATCCCAAAACAGTCTCCCAACCATGTGGGTACAGAATCAAGTCTCTTGCTGGAAATAGTCACACAAAGTGAAATAGCACCATTAGCATCAATTGAGACTGATAAACCTCAGAATAGCCTATACCATGATCTGGTTCTTGTAGGGGATGTGAGAGATCTGATTTTAAACCTGCAGTCTGAATCATGTGAAGAAGGAACATGCAGTATCAACAAATCCAATCTTCTGACAAAAATAAAACACATTTACCAGTTCTACCAATATTTTATCACAAACTTTCTGATAGTTTGAAGATCTGTCTTCCATAAGAAGAGAGTGGCTTAGCAAAGAAAAATTAATTCAGGTTCATGCAACTTCGATAATAAAATCTGAATACCTGAAAGTTGCCAAGGGGGAGGAAAACAGCAGGATTGGGTATATCTGAGTTTATCTTATAGACAAAGAGCTGTATGATCAGGCAGGTTCTAAACTCAAACCCAATAAATCATAATGAAAGGAAAATTTCCAAAGGGAACAAAAAAAAGGGTATTTGTGCAGACACAAATGTATCTCTATGCATATATACTATTAACTAAATACATTCATAAATGCATACAGAATAGGATGCCAAGAAACATTTTACATTTATTTCAGTTATCTTATTCTGCACACAACTGAACTGGAAACAGATCTCCTTTTGCTTATGAACTGAATTTTTAAATGGGAAAAATTTCTTAGTATCCTTATCTGCACACAGAAGGATATCCAGTGAGGAAGTAACAGTTAAGCATAAGGCTGAGATACACAATGTCAAACTTGTAGTGGCCTGGTTCACTGAGCATCATATGTACTTAACTGGATTATGTGTAGCCTAAGCCAACAAAAGTAAACACGTTATTTTTTTGCTATCATTTTCAACGTTGTTTTTACAACATCCTGTTGTGATTACACTTTGTTTTCTTCTATTTCACACCTATGTAAGATTTTCCATTCATGTATTACACTTACAAAAAGGAGATCTTTTTATCAGCACTGTCAAGTAGATAACTGGTATGCTTCATAACAGCATTGCATAAGCTTAACATACCTTTTGCATAAAGTCTGGAAAACCTTTAAATAACTCTTTCCTGAACCCTATGTCTGCATGATACCTGTTTATTTAAACTTCCAAAATGGGATAGATTTAAAAAAACCCAAATCTTTTACCTTCAGGCAATTGACCAAAACTACTATGGTAGGACCACAGCAATTGTAGGTTTTCTCCTGTCAGTGGAGAAAGACAGCTATCTCCTGAAAGTTAACTCATTTAAGATCTGTATTGGTGTATGCCTTTCTTCATGGACAAAATAAGGCTGGTAAACTCCAATTTCCAATTTAGGTATCTAAAGTCAGATGGGGTAAAACAGGGTCCCAGCTACCTCACCACAGCAAGTTTAAGGACTTATCTATTCTGCTGATTGAATTTTTTGAGTCCCCACTCAAAATAGCTCCCCATTCTACGTGGTTAGCCTGAATTCTTGAAACTGCAGATACAATGTGAACTTTACCAGTATTAAAATTCATATTGCTCATGTGAACCAAGCTTAACGTGTAATCCAGAGAATCCTTATCAAACAAGACACATTTTACGGGATGATTTTTCTGAAATGAAAAATCATGCCCTAGTTACAGTCCATGTGGTATTTAGCTTTACTAATGTGAAAGTTTCTCCTCAGATTTCCATGAACACAAGGAAGGACTCATGAAAAGGAATCTAAACATGCAGCATGGCAAAGGGTTCCAAAGCCTTTCTGTACTTCAAAGATTCAAAGGAGCAGTGAAGATACTGATGAATACTTCCTAATACAGATTCACTGAATATTGCTCTTACTGAGAAAAGGATAATATTCATATCAAGTGAGTAAACGTAACAGGTTTATTACCTTTTGTTGAAAATAACCACTCACCTAAATGCTTCTACTATTCTTGTGGCAGAGAATATGCACTTGAAGAAAATTCATAGAATCATAGAACAGTTTGGTTTGGAAGGGACCGTTAAAGGCCATCTAGTCCAACCCCCTGCAGTGAGCAGGGACATCTTCAACTAGATCAGGTTGCTCAGAGCGCACTCCAACCCGATCTGGAATGGTTCTAGGGATGAGGCATCTACCAGCTCTCTGGGAAACCTGTGCCAAGGTTTTACCACCCTCACTTCTTCCTTAGATCTAGTCTAAATCTACCCTCTTTTAATTTCAAACCATTACCCCTTGTTCTGTTGCAACAAGCCCTGCTAAAAAGTCTGTCCCCATCTTTCTTATAAGTCCCCTTTAAGTACTGGAAGGCTGCAATTAGGTCTCCCCGGAGCATTCTCTTCTCCAGGCTGAATAACCCCAATTCTCTCAGCCTTTCTTCACAGAAGTGTTCCAGCCCTCTCCTGGAAGGAGAGAGTCAAAAATCCTCTTTTTATTTTTGATTCCTCTTGGAACATGACTCATTCTTGTAAAGCAATAGAGAACATATGTTAACCTTTTTGCCTACATTTATCAGTGACTGCGAACAGTGTATTGTAACGAATATTACCAAAAATCTACCCATAAATTTGCACATAATCAAGAATTATAAGCTTCAATACACCTAACTGGAGTGTTGTTATAAAACTCTTTCCTCTAATTACCGTTTAATTCTTTTGTCTCCAAGCAGCTATTTCAATCTAGCAACTGTGAAATATTGTAGTATTTTTTAGCATATTAAAATACTTAGATAATATTATTCATGCATAGAGTTCAGGTATTTGACATTGACTTCTGATATTTTTCAAAGATAGTAGGATGGTTTTGAATGAGTCCAGGCTTCCAGAATCTGCATCTGATAGTTAGCCTACTAGAATGAATGGTCTGAGATGTGAAACTCAGTTTTGGCTCACTGCTATGGACTTAGAAATTTTGGCTGAATTTGGAATGTCAGAACATGTGATTTGCAGGCTCCGAGGTTTATCATATCCCAGGTTTATCCCAGGGAACCAAACTGCCCTACAAGTCCCTTGGTTTATTTATCTCCAGGTTCTAGAATCCCATTTGCTTCTCACTGAATGAAGTAGGCAACCAATGCTCTTATTTAAATACCAAGATTGAATAATTTTCTAAATTATATTCTCTAGTTCCAACAGGAATTCATTCAACGAAGTTCAAAAGACTGTATTATATAAAGGTCAGATTGGATTATTACAATTACCTATTCTGGCCTTACAATCTATTAATATTTTAGGAATATGAATTCTTACACGTTCTGTATTAATAATTTTAGATCGTGTCAGCAGCCAACCCAGAACCCTACTATCTCCCACAGCCTTGTGTCTGCCTGCATTATCAGACTACAGAAAGTGTCCTGCCACTTACTTTCCCTCTCCTAGTCGAGCCATCTCTCTGCTTTAGCTGCACATCGTTACCTCGTCGCGTGGTTAAGTGCCCTGCATTATTCACCCGTCTTTCTGTAAGAATGCCGTTTTAAGTGCCGTGGTCCGTGCTGAACACAGCACATCGAGCTGTGCGTTATTATCATGGGACCAACGCATCTGTTGGAACACGTAGCATAGAAAACTTATTTTGTGAACTCCCTACAGGAGCAAAGAGGTCTGGATTCAGCCAAAGTGGCAGTGCCACCTGAAATGTTAAGATGCTAAACTAAACCATTTGAGGATTCATCTCTACTTTGCTGTCTAAGCAATCAGTAGTGACTTTACGGCTGCTCGCTGTAGTCCTAAGTGTCCATGAAAAAATTGTTGGGTTTTTAAGATATCAAAGGCAGTCATATTATAGTTTACTTTGGTGTGTTTACTTTGGTTTGTTTACGTCATTAAAAGTCTCTTTTCAATGATTTGGCAAATTCTAACACAGGGCCTTCGACCTACAGATTTACATGTGTATTTCCTCATGCTACGTGCCACAATCGTTCTGGACAACAGTAAGATATTAACTAATGGAGCTGCAGCTTCAATTTTTACCTAAGAAGTTGTTGAAGAGAATGGAGCTAGAATAATTTTAAATTTTAAATAAGGACTGTGACTAGGGGGTGGGGGTAAAAAGATAACTGCTTTCCTTCTCCCATTTCTGTGGAATTTTTGCACTACCATTTTTGTAGCTGTCCATTATACATACCATTACTAATATACCATTAATCCACCTTTTTATCTCAGGTACACCAATGTATTTATAGCTCAGTTTTCCAGAAAGTTTATGGACAGATGACTTGGACTATGATAATAAAACATCCTCATAAAATGCTAGTAAAACGTCCTAGTAAAATACCTTAACTTGGATTTTGCCTTCCTGTATTCGCCCTTTCCACGATGCTGTAAATTTAAGGCTGTCCACTGAACAGCTCATTACTCTGCAAGGGAAACATATATACAGTAAATCTTAGAGACATGTAACACCACAAATGAAATAAAAAAAGAAAACCAATGTATTTTCAATGTGTATCATATCATACTAAGTCTTACTTTGAAGAAAAATACATTTTTAATTTCATCTAAAATAAAAAACAATCAGCATTTAAACAAGTAACTCACAGCAATTCTACTTCACTGCAAGTAATAAAAGTGAGGTGGCTAATAACAGGATTTTCTATAACTTGTTGGATATGCGTCCTGAAAATGAAATAATCATTTCATGCATAGGGAACAATGGCATATTAGCACACATAAATAAATAGATTATTTTTCCCTCACCTTGCAGTCTCCTGGCGTAAGGCGTTGAGAAATGTGTCTGGATGAAATAGGTCTGAAAGGTCAAGAGTGTCTGACAGTAGTTTCTCTTTCTCTGCTTTTTCTAACCAATTCTAAAAGCCGGGGGGGTGGGGGGGGGGAGGGGGGGGAA